CCCTACACTATACGTACAACAAGCCAAGCAGGTTAGGAATATGTCAGTCTTTCTGTGCAGCGATCCAAGCACCATCAGCAGGCGCTGTACATCACAGGCACGCTCTACATTCTCAGAATCACTGTATAGCTGGTTAAAATATCTTAAAATGTGTCTGAGTAAAGCTGGCTTTAAAACCCAAGTAGTGAATATGTAACCACCTCCATGACACTTGGTGCATGTGCCACATTGGTATGTTCCAAGTAGATTCCATGGATGCATTAGACAATAACTGCTTTTTTTTTTTCTGTGAAAAATTGGCAGATTAATATTAATAAGAAATTACATGTATTTTTTTCTGTGACTTTATTCATTACAATGACTATTTTAGACAAGGAGATTATAAAAGTGATGACGAGATTTTTTTAGAACAAGCTGAAAAGTAGAATTTAATGCTCCTGTACTTTTTTTGTGGACCTTTGTCTATGCCTGTGTCCTTTCATGAACATTAAATCAATTCTGAGCAAAGTGAAAAAGTGTTTCTGAAAAAAAAGCATACTGTGTTGGGGAGCTTCATGTCTTTTTCTTCACCCAACATTTTTACATAAAATGCTCAAACTCAACAGAGATTCTTAAAGAGAACCATTTTAATGGATTAGTTATTTGATTACAGATTCCACGTGGCTTTCTAATCATGCATCTCCTATTCTAAAAACAATTTCAAATTCTGATGCAGATCAGGGCTGACTGCAGATTGTTTAATAGAATGAGGATAGACTTTGTAGTAGTGTTTTCATTTAAATCTGTCAAGATGGCTAGCTGCTGGGATGAGGCTGTTGCAGGATTTACTCTGCGGTTAGACAGAGCATGTGTGTTCTGTAATGACATGTAGGCAAAATACTTTATTTTTGCAAGTAGGCTTCAGTTTTTCAGGGTCCAGGAGTAGATGACTTGAAAGGAAGTTGCCTTTTGTAATTCCACAGTATTAAAGGGATATGGACAACTTTGCAGTTCAGGTATTGTACTAGACTTTATGGAAGGATTTTTTTTTCCCTGATCTTGTCAGTTAATAGTAAAGAAGGAAGAAAAGGGTCGGAAATGATACATGAAATACTCTGCATTGGCTATTTTTAATTTAAGGAAGTTGTGGAGTACAAATGAACAGTTACAACATTGCGGCATTGGTGCGGTGATTCAGTTTCTGAACACGTCAAATTCTAGCGATTTCCAAAATAAGTAACAATACTGTAGAATTATTTCTTATTTTTTTCCATGTTTTAAGAATTTTTTTTTTCCTTTGTTGATTCTTAGGGTCCACTTTCAAATTTGCCAAGTCTAGATTCAGTGTCCTTGAAGGCTGCAATGGTAAGCATTTTACAGTTTCATATAGTCTCCCATAACATCCTCATAGGAAAGCTTAGGAAGTGTGGACTGGGAAGTGGATCGAGGACTGGCTGGATAGGAAATCTCAGAGGGTGGTGATGAATGGGGCTGAGTCTAGTTGGAGGTCTGTGGCCACTGGTGTTCCGCAGGGGTCAGTACTGGTCCCGGTGCTCTTCAACTTGTTCATCAGTGACTTGGACGAGGGCACAGAGTGCACCCTCAGCAAGTTTGCAGATGACACCAAACTGGGAGGACTGGCCGACACTCCCGAGGGCTGTGCTGCCATTCAGAGGGACCTAGACAGGATGGAGAGTTGGGCAGAGAGGAACCTCGTGAGGTTCAACAAGGACAAGTACAGGGTCCTGCACCTGGGGAGGAATAACCCCAGGCACCAGCACAGATTTGCTCAGCTCTGGTGAGGCCACACATGGAGTACTGCATGCAGTTCTGGGCTCCCCAGTACAAGGGGGACCTGGAGGGACCCTCTAAAGAGGGTCCAGCCTAGAGCGACAAAGATGATTAAGGAACTGGAGCATTTGAGGATAGACTAAGCAAGCTGGGCCTGTTTAATCTGTAGAAAAGAAGGCTGAGAGGAGATTTGATTAACACGTTCAAGTACCTGAGGGGTGATTGTAGAGGGGATGGGGCCAGGCTCTTCTCCGTGGTAGCCAGACATAGAACAAGAGGTAATGGGTACAAGTTGAAACACAGGAAGTTCCATCTCCATGTGAGGAAGAACTTCTTTCCTGTGAGGGTGCCAGAGCCCTGGAACAGGCTGCCCAGAGAGGTTGTGGAGTCTCCTTCTCTGGAGATCTTCCAGACACGCCTGGATGCCACCCTGTGCCACGTGCTCTGGGTGTCCCTCCTGGAGCAGGGGGTTGGACTAGATGATCTCTAGAGGTCCCTTCCAACCTCAGCAAATCTGTGATTCTGTGATATTTTGGTGTTACAATTTCACATTGTTGTGTTACTGCTGTGATGTGGGAAAGACTAGTGTTAATTGTGTAACATGGTGGAAACTCATCTAAATAGTTTAGCTCAAGTTACTGGATGGCACAACCAGCTAACCAGTCATCCTCTTCAATAATAGCTAAATTAAATGTCTGGAAATACTTTCTTCATTTATAGGAGTTTTGCTGCTTTGAGTACTAAATGTATGCCCGTAGATATATAAATTATTTATGAGATGATAGTAATAGAGTATTAGTTTCTAAGCCTTGAGAAACAGAACTTTACTTACAAGAATGTTATCCTGTGAGTCACCCTAAATTGCTAAAAGCAGGTACTTAGCTCTAATTAGTTTTAATCACGAAAATTTCTTTTTGCCTGAATGCTTTGAAATATAGGTCTGCTATCATTTATAATTTTAGTCTTAAGGCATTCACTTTATGCAAATAGCTCAATTAAACTTAGAAGATAGGTACTAAGTATATGCAACAAGTTTTTTCTTTTTTTCTTTTTTTGTTAAAAGCTAAGATATTTTTTAAAACAAATCAGGTAATTTTTTTTTTTTTTTAGTGTTAGGCTAATTTCCATTGAGATAGCAATTTCAGAGTTCAGTAACCAACAGTATATGAACTTCCACACTTCCTTTTCTCCAAGTTTAGCTTTATTCTGAAAGCTTAACTGTAATTTTCTTTCTGGGAGAGAGGGGGAGAAGAGGAAAGCTGGTTCTTCTTTAATTGGTAAATAGGTCTTATTAAAAAATGTACCCCCTGAATCCCTCCTTTTTATGTCAGAAGAGCCAATTTTCCTCAGTTAAAGTTCTAAAATAAGTTATAAATTAAGCACTAAAAATACCTTCCACTTCTCATAGGAATTAATCCTACCAGGACTGCAGCTTGGGAACCACCCTTCTAACTTATATAAATGTAACTCAGTTGTCTAAAGCCATGCATAATAATTTTAACTGAGTAGTTTGAGAAGAATTAAACTCTTATTTTCCTCAAAAATTGTTTAATGTATATTTGTGTGAGCACACTTTGACCAGGATGGAACCCAATATGCCAGAATTAAACACATGTAAATTCAGTCTAGTCTGTCCAGACCTTCCATCATATAGAGAATTTACAGTCAGGTTCACCACCTTACCATTAAACCTGGAAGGCTTCCTTGGTCACTGGCTTTTAAGTTGCTCATATGTGCTCAAAAGCAGTGTTCTAGTAAAGTCTTCATTTATTCTGTCAGCTAAAACTCCATTCCCAATGCGGATAGATAACCCTGAAAAGGTTAGTCATGACGGACTTTACTGGTGTTTTGGGCCCACTTCCATCTGAATGGTGGTTAGGCTTGGATTTTAGGTTTTCTCAGCCTGAAAAAGGTTTGCCCTGGGAAGCAGAGTAGAGCTTATGTTGCATGATGCCATGTGCCATCTTGCGTGTCTCTTAGTGAAACTGAGTTAGGTAATAAGGAATACAGGAACTAGAGGTCCACGAGGCAACCCGAGCTGGAAGGAGTCCAGTTCTAGCACCAAACTGGGAATTCACTCCAGTGATCCCTGAAGTCTTGGAACCGTTGAATAAATCAGAGTGGAAAGCTCCAAATAGGCTCTCTGAGATGTTAGTTTCCTAGGGCCTCGTCTAGTCGAGTATTTTCACAGATTTTCTGGATAATATATTCAGTGTCTCACTATGCTGTTGGTGAGAATTACCTTTAATATCTAGTCAGAATTTTCCTTAGTGTAAATTCTATCAGTCGTTCCTCATGTTTTCAGTATGCTCTTCTGGGAAGCATCAGGCTCCATCTTTTCTCTATCACCTAACGGATAGCAGAAGGCAGTGGTCACGTTCCTACATTGTATTTTCTTCTCCAAAACTACTACAGTCAAAGCACTTGTTGTATTTCGTACTACATTATATGGGGGGAGGAGGTCCCATGATCTTGTTTCTCCCAATTTAAGTTCTCCCAGGATTATTAAGCAGCCCCTGTGCTCTCAGAAGGAGTAATGCTAATTTGGGCGGGCTGGGTTGCTATCTGAAGGCTGAGGTTGTTCCCTTTGCACTGAATAAACTGGATCAGATTTTCAGGGGTGCAAACATATATCCACCAGCTGTAAAGAAAACTGGTAGCTAATTATGGACATTGTATTGTAGTATTTGCATCCTCCAAATGTACTCCTCAGGATCAGAAACTTAAAATTTCAGTGATTTACATGTTGAAGTGTTTTAAGTGTGAACGTCTTGTTCAGGCTTTTAAATTCCACCTTTAATATTTTTTTATTATGTTAAATTCTATCTTAAAGGTATAAAAACAGCAAATTCTTTCAAATAAGATATTTGATCAAATAAGAAAGTGCAATTTTAATGTAGTAGCTTTTCAGAGATCTGTATTCTTACATCTGTCTTCATATATCAGCAAGATTTACTATGCTGATCTCATACTCTCATTCTTCTTTTACGGCCCATAGGCTCAGTTTGATCGCTATCTGTCTGCTCCAGATAGTCTATTAATGTCCCAGCTGAATTTCCTTCTGAGTGCCACTGTAAAGTAAGTATCTTAACTCTGAATTTCTATTACGCTTGTATAATAATCAGACAGATGAATTTGATTAGTTTTTAGTGGATCATGATAGAGAATTCATGCTATCAGCTGTAATCACATTTGCATTGTCCTTCAGGTCACAATTCAATTTGTTTTGCCTGTCTTCTTTTTGAACAAGCTGTTAGCAATATGTAATTCTGTAACTTTCTGAAGTTGCTGCTCCTGATTTAATGGACACTATCAAAATAAATTGCATTCATCTCTTTTGAACATGTTCTACTGTGTTGGCGTTTTTTGTCAACTTAGTTGTAAATTGTTTTAGAACTATTTTATAAGCCTTCTAAAGAGAGATGGAATAATTCTCCACTCAAGTTTTCTTTTATCTCCTCTGCTAAGTCAAGTCTAGAATTTTTCAACTGTCTTCTACAGTAGAATATTGACATTCTTGTCTCATCAAGTATTGTGCTGAAATTACTTTTGGCTTTTCACATAATACTTTTCAAGGCAGAAATCATTAAAGCAAGGATTTGCTTATGTATAACTTCTCTTGTTTTATGAATATATTCTGAAATACAACAAATACAGGTCAGCTGAACCCTAAGGCTGGGGAAGATGCTGTGCATCTTTCCAATTAAATATGAATTTTATTAACTCATTTTGTAGTATTTAAATTCAGAAAATTATATGCTGCACTGATCAAAAAGTTTTCTTGACATTATTTTTCATGCTTCTGTGAGAAATACAAGTTACATAACATGAAAAATTGTGACTAGTACATCATATTTTCACATAATGCTGGAGTGTTTGGAGTCTCATTATTACTATCTGTCCTGCAGTGTCATAAGAAAGTGTTTTTTCACTGAGGGCGGTTGAGCGCTAGCACAGATTGCACAATATATGTATCTCTTACCTATCTGAGATTTGTATGCTATTTTCTTGATTCTCTGTATGTCAGTGTTCAGTCAAATCTTTGCACTTGGCACAAATATGTTGCTTTAATCTGCTTGAGTAAAAATTTTCAATTTTCAAGTTTTCAATTCTGTCAATCCATGCCTCAATATTAGATAAACCAGGCAGAAGTGCTGAGTGCAGCTTCTGTAATGGTCATGGTCTGCATATAATGATAGTCTGAAAATGAAATCATTAAACATTCTGCTATCTGAAGGAAGAAGATTGTTACTTCCTGAAGATTTTTTCAGATGTGTGGTAATTGCATAAGTGATTATTTGTCAGCCTAGGTTACTAAGTGCCTGAGTTTGGCATTTATAGTTCACTAATGTTCTCAGGACCAAATGAATAATGATCAAAATGGTCATTTTTTGGTCCTATTTTAGCATTTTAAGATATTAAGTGTTTTTTGTTGGTGGTGGCAGGTTTTTTCCTTGACTTGTCAGAATTTGTAGCCAACTTGCTTTTAAAACTCCAGATCTTTCTTGGTTGAAGATATAAACTCACTTGTACTGAAAAACATATGAGCCCAGGAATCTGTTAGTATTCTTAGCAGAGAAATATAAACACTAGCATTAAGCTAATTTGCAAACCAGGATCACTTTTAATGTATATTACTGTAGATCCCTAACTCAAACATAGTTCAACTTGGGTTTTCCTCGTGGACGGTTTCATGCTGTAAGCCAGTGCTTCCTAAGCCCCGAGTCCATCACTGAAGAAGTGACTGTGGCCTTAGGAGATGTTGTTTCTTCTCAGCCATTTGTTGAATCTCTCCTCTGAGGTTCCTGTTCCCACAGCTCCGCCAGCAGAACTAACTCTGTTGGGTGGAAGTTATTCCTCTACTCCAGTATGTATCAACCAGATGAGCTTAAAGAATAATGTAAATGAAGTATTTGAAATTCTGCTTCTACATGTCAAGCTATTAAGTCTGAATTTTAATTCTTGTTCTTTTTCTTAATGTAGGTCTATTTAAAAATCATAGTAACACTAAATGTATTTTGAAAGCCTCAATTTTTCACTGCTAACACAGAAGCAATTTTTTAGAGGTAGACTTTATGCTACCATAAAGACTCAAGCACACAATGAAATTACTTAGGCTTAATAATTTCTTTCTGTCAGATGAACCAAGATAAACCAGTTACGTATGCCTTCAGTCTTACCCCATTTATGAGGTTTTTAAATCTCTCACTACAGTTTAAGCTGAATTCATGTTATCTTGCAACAGTAGGGAGCCAGGCAGGGAGTGAGGAACCCATATGAGGGCAATTACCATAGCCCCTACAGCTGAGCTGACACACAGTAATTTATTATTCTGCTGTAACTTAATGCTGTAGATCAGCTTCTTCACAGAATTAAAAATAAAAGCTCTGTTAGTCTCTTAGGCATCAAATGGGTAGCTTTAAACACAAGCCATCTCGTTTAAGTCAATATTTGTTAGTGCATGCTGCTGTCTTTCAAATTCCTTTGCTCATTTAAAAAGTTTTAAGCTATTTATATATATGGTTGTTGGTCTCATAAAGCTCTTTTCATTTGTGTTGGATCACAGAAAATGAATGCTGAAATTACTATTTTTAGAAAATGCAGCATTTTGTGTTAGTGATAAATTGTGTCATGTTGTTATGGCAACTGAAATCCTAATGTGGTGATTAATGACACTGATATTATTTGATGGAAAGATTAGTTTGATGCTGTTCAGCTCCCTGGAACATTTTAATAAACTTTTTCTTTCTGTTTAGTAGTATTCTGTGTAATAGAGTTAGTAGCTTTATACAACTTCCGTTGTGCAATGTTTTCCTGAAACATTTCATGTTATAGGGCTCAGCAGTTCGGGAGTGTGTTCAGAGGCAGTTGTTTACCTGAAAACCTTCAGTGTGTTTCCCTTATAACAATGTTTCTGGATTTGTATTTGCAAGTATTCTAAATAATGTAGAAATGCAGGCATTTGATTGTGCTTATCCAAAGGCTGGGTAGTTGGCACTGGAATGAAATGTACTTTTGTCTCTTAATCTTCTTTATCATCTTTTCCATTTCTTAATATTTCTGAAAAGACAAAGTTGTACACGATTTGTATTTGAGATGTCAATTCCTACTCACTGTGCTCAACAGCTGGCAAATTCAGCACTGGTTTTAGCAGGTGCAATTTTGGGAATTTTGTTTCTTTGCTGCATCTTACAGCTGAATTGGAATTTTTGGTACCTCAGTTCCTCCTGATAGTCAATTTACACAGGTTTGGCTGTATAATAGTTGTAACTACTGCTTCTGATAGATAAAAATGCATGTGCAACTGTGAGCGTATTGCCATGGTGATTAAAACAAACTGATTCAACTAAGTAAAACACAAACATTTGTTTGTCTTCAAAAAAATAATGTTTTCTCTAAACGTTAGCATCAGATCTCTGAACATCTTTGCTCGTTTTGGTCCACAAGAATAACAGGATGCAGACCTTATAGCGTTGTTTGTCAAAGACTATAGTAACTTCTAAGTCTCTGACCACCGTCACCTTCAGCTTTTCCTGATCCCTGACAGACTGTGGAATCAGATGGTGTCAAGGCAATAAGAAGAGACTACATTTGCTGGTAGATTAAAAACCATAAATTTACAGAGCAGAGCCAGCAGCCCCAGAAGGCAGAGACAGACCAGTAAGCTTATCATTCTGTTGAACGATAGAGGAGAGTACAGGTAAAAAAATACTGTATGCACATTAAATATGGTTCTTTTTCTATCCCCTGCCATTTTTTTCATGATGGCAGGAATAAAGATTCCTTCTTATCAAAATCATATATTTTGATATATGCTTGAGAGTACAATGCCAATAGAGACAAGAGTCTTCTTTTACTGTAAAAGTATAAGGTGTTTTCACTGTTGAATTACACAGACTTTTTAATAACTGGCAGTTACTTACAGTGTCACTGTCAGTGGCAGTGACATTTTTCCAGTTTCTGCATTTATATATATTTTTTTCAGGTAGCATAGTTAGACTCCTTAAAATTTACAATTTTGCTTTTTTGCCTTTTTTTTTCTTTTAGGGAGCAGATAATAAAACAGTCAACGGAACTGGTCTGCAGAGCTTACAGTGAGTTATATGCGGCTGTGATGAACCCCTCAAATGAATATAAGGATCCAGAAACCATCCTGCACAGAACTCCTCATCAAGTCCAGACATTGCTTTCATAGTCTTACTTCCTCCAGAATTATCAGAATTCATAATACTGTATTTGCTTGTATTGTGTTTTTCTGTATTGAGTTTTGAATTATAACTATACAGTTAAAATATATAGGAATGCTGTTTATTTAATTTGCTTGACAGAAGTCTAGTCTTTTCTGTGTCTTGATTACTTTCTGTAGGCCAGAAAATAGAGTATAAATTAAAAATAATTTTAATGTGTTTCTCCAATGGACATGAACCTTCACAAAATGCAATCTCTTTGAAAAAGGGAGTAAAGGAGAAAGAAGCTTTTCCCTTGCTGTACATAATCCTTTCAGCACTCTTGTAACCTCATCATTATTTTTATTTGCTCCTTTCCCTGTTCATTCATTCTCTTGTCTGAGAAGCCTACCATCAATAAACACTGGTACTGTGTAATTTCAGTACAACTGATGTACTTTTGAATGTCTTGAGATACATATAGCCATACATACATACATACATACTTGGCTATAATGACTATAAGTCATTTCAGAATAGTGGATGCTCTTTTTGAAATCCTACTGATTAAATCTTTGAGACAGAATTTGTGTGCTTTTTGTGGGGTTTCTGACCCGATCTGTGTTGCTAGTTCTGTTACTGTCTGTAAGAAAAAGAAATACTTGAACTACATGAATGTACATAATCTGGAATTTCATGTTTTAAGTAATATTTTTATAATTTTCCTTTACTGTGACAGATTTTATTTCAGAGCAGTTCCTCTGTAGGAATCTTTGTATCAATTGAAACTTGCAGGTAGAACTCTTAAGGCAGTGTCCAATAACAGTGTAGGTTTGGAAGGTGATTTGCACAGCAATATGCCATTCCTCTTTCCCACGTATATCTTCTTTTTGGTTGTTTTGGGGTTTTGTTTGTGTTGTTTGTAGTACAGAAAAGTTCGATTGCTTTAGCACAAACATTTTCAGCTACTAAGATCCTGAGAGGTTTTAGTGGTTCGCGTGTGTGCAGTGGTGCCAGTGCAGCAGCACAAGGTGCTCTGGGGGCCGCGTAGGAACGCGGGGCTGTGGGGCTGTGGTTGGGGGCTCCCTCCTTCCCTATGGAGCTGAACGTGCTGGAAACCATGGAGCGCGCTGTGTTTCGGTGGCCTTTCCTTCTAGTGAGAGAGTAAATTGTGTAATAAAGAGGACTCTTGTCCTGTCATGCCTTGTGATGATTTTGTATATTTAAGAAAACATAGCCTTATTTCATGGAAGGCTTTTATTCCCCAAGATTTCAGGAAAAAAAAAAAGGTTATTATAAGGAGATCACTGGGGATTTTTTAAGAAAGCTTTCCTTGGGATTTTTTTTTTTCATTTTCTCTTGAGTTTTTCTATGAGTATCACACACTTATTACAGTTGTTGTTGCATGTTTATGTACGTTAAGGGAGAGATGAGCAGTCATTCATATTGAATAGATTAAATTTAAGATGGATATTTTTATTGATGATAATATATCCCATGTAAAGTATATTCTTAGTGGCAGTCGAACCTGCAGTTTAGTGAATGTTTACAAAAGAGCAACGAATAGAGAGAAGCAGGAACAGTGCATTTCATCTCTTGAAAAACTCATTACACAAATCATATGCGGTGCACGCAGAAATCAGCTTTGGTAGTAATACCTCTAAAGCAGTACCTCCCTTTTTAATGGGCATAATCTGTTGGTATAATATAAATAAGATTTGAAAGTTTTAAGTGTCTCTGGAGTTCTTGGATGAGATATAATATTCCAATTTATAAAAGAATTTATGTTTGGAATTACTCCCTTTAGAAACTCCACCTCTCTTATATAAAAATTCAGGAAACTTAGCAGAGCTCCAGCTGAAAATCATGCTCTCTGAGTAGGTAAGGCACTTTAAATGATTCAGGCTGTGCATTATTGTAGTGCATATATTTAGAAGGCTATTGTTTTGTCGTTTAATATGTTAACATTGCTGAATGTGCTTACAATTGTTATCTAGTATGTGAATATTATATCACTTGTGACAAGGTTATAGATTAGCTTATTGTTAATGAAATCAAGAGAACTTTTACCTCAACTTACAAGTGAAGCTGTCTTCAATAGTCAGTCTATGAATTGCATGAGAATTCAGAAAGTTATTTCTTGGCTTTAAGTCCATTTAGAGACTTAACCATTACTTTATCCTCTCCTGTTAATACAAAAGCTATAAAAGTTGTAACTTATAAAAGTTAGAATCATTCACTTATTTTGGTCTGTGCAATGGAAGTAAATGACAAAGGGTTGCAGATGAGAAAATATGTCAATAAAAGCCTTTGATTTGCTGACTTCTGTCTTCCATGTTGTTATTTTCTGTGCCTGTCTGAGAGGAGATAACTAAAGGGCCCCCCTATCCCTTCTCGTTTGGATATTCTCACAACAACAGCATTCAGCCAACGAAAGCTACGGAGTTGAGTCTGAGGTAGATCCAATGGGTCTTAACCAATACAAGTGGCAATGCCTGTGTGTTCAATCTTGTATATACAGCTTTCTCCTTCCCTCTTTTTATAGACACACACACTACCATAAATCAGTAAATAGAAGTTGCTTAATTATATCAATCACACAGAAGTCCAACCACTGTGATTTTTTTTCCAATGTAGAATATGAGAAACTTAAGGGGGCTAGAAAAGGTGATCCTGCATTTCTTTTGCAGCATTTCTGAGTTCTTCTCCCTATTTTGTGATTTATGAGTATAGACCTGCGTTCCATCTCTTCATAGACTCAGATGTAGTTATTTTTATTAAAGTTTTATTAAAGTCAGAAATAAGTGTTTGGGGAAGAAAATACTTTCAGAAGCACTAAAGATTTTCATTCAGCTGTTCTTTTAATCCCTTTGCTTCCTTACTGAGTCACTTCCCAGGGAACCCAGGGGGTAGGAAGGCTATAAAATTTTGAAAATGAAAGAAGGGGGTGGACTTGTTTCCATGACTAAAATACACCCTTGTTAGAAGCAGCACGGACATGGTGTGGGGTTTTTTTGATATCTATTGCCACCTGCTTCTGAGGGAAAAAGACAGGAAAAGATAATTTGCTGCTGCTAAGTGCAGTGCCCAAAACAGGGCAAGGTAGGGCAAGATGCCATAAATTGATGCTAAAGTGGAGAAGCATTTAAATAGTTGGGAGAATATTCAGAAGGAAGATTAGAAGAAACGGACAGCGGAGGTAAAAAGTGTGTGGGGTAGCTTATCTCTTTCCCATAACGCCTTTACTACTTTAAAAAACCACCATTTTTTCCACCTCACAAATGAAACTTCAAGACAATCTTGCAGCTGCTGCACTCAGTCAGTCTGCCTTTGGGATAACTGCGTGTATGATGAGATTCTCTGAGTCACTCAGTGACACATGAAAATGAATTTGGAACTGTTTATTTTTCTCCTTATTTTTTTTAAGGGAAGTGAATGTAACTTAAACTTGGGTATTTGTCCTGCGTGAGAGAAAATTCCATATTCCTCCATATAGAATTAGAGGAACTAGATTTTCTTTGACACGGACTTTTTCTTCCCATTCAAAATGAAAACCCCAATTTTCTTTGGAGTGGATATACCCTGGTGCCATGTGTGATGGGCCACCCCAGAGCCCTGGGTCTTCTTTTACTGAATAAGTGTAGCTCAGAAGCCTGAGTTCCTGGCGCATCTTATGTTTCCACGAACCCACCAAGAGAAGGGGCTGGAAGCTTGTACAGCCAAAAGCAACAAAACAGAGGTCTCCTCAGCAGCCAGGTTGCGTTACCATCATCAAACTCCTTCCAAAAGATTAATTCTAACCACTCTAAATCTGAATCTTTTTTCAATTAATCTGAATGTTTCCAGCCAGCTGTCACTGCCATTTGTGGCATTCTTCCATTCTTCCTAAAGACTTCCCTTTCTATAAGCTCAGATTCGGCAAAGCATCCCAGTTCTACAGAGGACTTCTGGGCTCATTTTCCAGAGAAGTCTTCTGTAGAACACAACCATGTTTTACAGGTGAGCGTGTGCTCCTATGCTCTACTGAATTAGGCATTTGCTGCCCTTCTAGACGTTCCCCTGATGGCCAGGGTAGCACTCAGGTGGACATGTCCACTCTAGCCCAGAGTATGGTGGTCACCAAACATTCAAAACCTGGGACTATCTCATTGCATAGAATTGGCCTCCTGATTTATCCAGATACGATCACAGGTAGTGAGCAACTCTGTAGAGATTGTGTGGGAAAAATGAAGTAAAATCAAGACATTTCTCCCTTCCTTGATCCTTGATTGACTGTTCAACACATCAAGGTTGAATGTGGTTCAATCTGTAGTGGTTCAATCTGCAGTAATATGCCAGTTCCTCTAGTACAAAGCTGTGGAAAGACTTACATGCAAAGGAGCCCTTTACACGTGGAAATGTGTTCTTACTCGTAGATGCATTAAGCTCTAAATCAGGGTATGACCCACTCATGCTACAGTGATTACACCAGGCTTAGCACACAGTGCAAAGATGAACCAGATAGGCTTCAAGAAAGAAAAAGTTTATTTTGACAACCTTGCTGTAGCAGTAAGAAATCCCTGATAAAGCAAGATATGGCTTAAAGATGTTTGATAAACTACTGTAACGTGGCTGATGAAAAAAAAATCCGTTGCGTGTTGCATATTGAGACAATGGAGCTTTCATTTGCTGCCTGGTTCACAGATGTGGTATTGTCAAAATTGCAGGAAAATGCCTGGCAGACTGTATCATTGACTATATTTAGTGAGAAAAAAAAATCAGAGCACGCTATTTATAGAAGCCGCATAAATAAGCATGGAGTTCTTATCAGCCAAAGATAACATTAGTCGTGATTTATCAAAGTAATCTTTATTTTATGGAAAATGGATAATAGAGTGTAATTTAATCCTTTGTGAATGTAATGTGTATTTCAAAGGATTCTTTTTTTGTCAATAAAAGCATTTGTTGTACTTGTTAAACTGATTAGCCTTGTTGCTGTTGCTTAGGATGGAATAAAAATACCCATTAATGAAAATGGGGAGCAGAAGATGGGTTCTAAAGTTTGTGAAATATTTTGTATCCTTTGCGAGCCAGTTTTTCAGATCAAAACAGTGTTGTGGTTTTTTTAGCTGCAAGCCTGACTGCATGGCACGCATTGGTACACGTAATATATTTTCCCATTTAATTCCAAAAATGGATTACCCCCGAAATGCAGTTCATCTCCGGGCAGCTCAAGCGCTGTGTGGATCTGGGGCTTCTCTCGCTTCTCTCACTGCGCTGCCCGACGGAGCCCGGCGCTGGTGCCAAGCGCAGGCAGGAAGGGTGACTTTCCTGGCCGCTTCCCTTTGCATTTTTTC